TCCCTGGTGCCCAAAAGGTTGGGGACCTCTGAGCTGCAGGGACCATATTTATAGTGATGCCATAAAGGCATCAGCATCTTTGCTTGTCTACTATCTCTGCTTTAAACATGCTTTTTTAGTATTTAGTAGGGTAGAGCGCTCTATCTTTTAGCATTGTCTTTTTAGCTTGAATTTTCAGAGTGTAGAATTCACCAGTGCTTGTTAGTAAAGAGTGCTACCAGAATTTTTGGCTGGCAATTTTTAGCTTCAAGCCAAAAGCCATTACAAATGAAAAAATAATGAAGTTGTGTTAATGCTTGTTACCAGCTATTTTGGGGGGGAAGGTGTATTCTTAAAAATTTAGTGTATAATTACTTTACAAATAAATTCAAGAAAATGTCCTGTCTGAGGTTAAAAACAAACATACATGGTTGTTGTCAGTATCCCTTAAATAAACAAATAACTCATTTAGAATTTAAGATTGGCAATAGAGAAGAAAAAATGAAATAATTTGAATATATTATAAATATACTTTGCTGTGCTTGTTTGAACATTCCTGGAAATTTCTATTGACCATTCCTGGAAATTTCTATTATTTATCTCTGAACTCTAGAATAACAAGGCAAAACCTAAAAAAAAATTGGTGTATATTGTAGCCAGCAAAACAGTTGGATGTTACTAACAAAATCATCTATTTTTCCTAATGTGCTCAAAACCTTTACCTTTTCTCATTCCTTCTGAATTTAAGAATAGTATTCCAGATATCACTGTTTATTTTCTTTTTCTACCCAAGTTCATCTAATAGATTTCAAAAGTGTGGTTCTGCTTCAGTACAGGTAGTCCTCAACTTATAAACATTTTTTTTAGTGACTGCTCAAAATTACAACAGCTTGGGGAAAAGTGACTTATGACTGTTTTTTCATACTTACGAACATTGCAACATCCCCATGGTCATGTGATCAAAATTCAGACACTCGGTAACTGACTCACATTTATTACGGTTGCAGTGTCCCTAGTCATGTGATCACTGTTTGCCACCTTCTGAGAAGCAAAGTCAATGTGGAAGTCATGTTCAATTAACAACAGTTACTAAGTTAACAACTGCAACTTAACAGGTGGCAAGAAAGGTTGTAAAATGGGGCAAAATTCATTTAACTGTCTTGCTTAGAAATGGATATTTTGAACTCAATTGTGGTTGTAAATCAAGAATTACTGGCGTGTTGCCAAATATGATGTTCAGAAGTTTTGATTAATCTAGGAAATTTATGTTCTCAAATCAAACAGTTTGAAGATCTTTATTGTTTCTCTAGCTGGAATTATAAGACTTCTAGGTAAGGTTCACTAGTACCAAAGCTGGGGCAAGATCAAGGAAGCAAGAATTATACACATTTCAGTAAGGTATCTTTGATACTAGTCTGGAGAGGGGGGTAATCATACAGAATCTTGGAATCTTGGAATTCTCCATCCTCATGCAATCATTTAGGTAGAGTCTCTTTGAATGACTTGAAAGGCTTCTTCCGAGGTTTTTGCCACCCTGACTGAGTTGCTGTTATGAGATAAATCATCAGTAGGCTCACCTTTAACACTTATTTGTTTATTTCTTTTCCCTGCCTCCCCATAATCTCTCACAAAACGTGTCTGGGTTTGTATCATATAATCATAGGGTTAGAAGGGGTCTTAAGGAATTATCCAAACCAGTGTTTTTCAAACTTGGCAACTTAAAATGTGTGGACCTCAACTCCCAGAATTCTCCAGCCAGCGGGAGTTGAGGTCTACACATCTTAATGTCATGAAGTTTGAAAAAACACTGATCTAAATCTATCTACATTTTACTTAATGTAGGATCCACTAGAGCAGAGGTGGGGAACCATGGCTCTTTTATGACTTGCGTGCTTCAATTCCAAGAATTCCTGAGACAGCAAGGCTGGCTCAGGAATTCTGGGAGTTTAAGTCCACAAGTCATAAAAGGGCCATTGTTCCCTTTCTCTGCACTAGAGCATTTATAAGAGATGACTAGGTAGGCCCCATTTGAGGACCCCGAACAAAGGAAAACTCACCATTTATTTAATAGCCTGTTTCACCAAATGACATTTCCTCATAAGACATATTTCTTGATGTCTGGCATGAACCTTTTCTTTGCAGTTTTGACATTGGTTCTGAATTTGATATCGGGCGATAGAAAGTCCACTTCTTCTGTTGTGATAGCTCTTAAGAAGTTTGAAGGCTACTATCATATCTTCACTCTGTCTTCTCTTCCATAGACTAAAGATATCCAGATATCCAGGACTAGATTTCCAGATAGTTGACTGTCTGGATTTGTTCCAATTTGTCTCTTGTTTTTCAGCTGTGATACCTAGGACTGGATACAGCATTCCAGATGGGATCTGACTAGGGCAGAATAGATTCACAATGACATCTCATAACCTGGACTGTGTGCTTCTGCAGTAGCATTTGCTTTTCTAGCAGCTGCATTATATTGCTGGTTCATATTTAACTTGTGGTTGAAAAGGACACCCAGATCCTTTTCACATGTAATATTGCTGTGCCAGGGCCTATGATTATTCTGTACATATGCCTTTCATTTTTATTACCCAGATGTAACGTTGCACAACTTGATGTTATTACAATTTTTTTCAAAGTCACCATGCTTTTTATACTATGATGTGGTAGCAAATCCCATGCCCCAAACAGTTGAAACCATTAATCTGTAAGAATGGAGGATTCATCTTCTTCCTGCTGGTGGAACCATGTTCTTTTGCAGAGGCTACCTCACAGTGGTAAATTAACAACTTTAGCCAGTTGCCTGTCAGTTAAAATTTAGGGCTGTCTAATGTGTTTTCATGTAAGACTTTGGCAGTTTCTTACTTATTTGAGCAGTGTCTAGTACCAGAATGGGTAGATTTGTGAGTGAGTCTACCCAGTTTTGGCCTGTAACGTGAGCACAAATTATATAAAACTGTATTATAAGGCAGTGTTCAGAAGAGAAAAAATGTAAGTGAGGGAATATTTATCTTTTTAAAGAAGCTACTTCAGAGTTATAGATGCAGAAACTACCTCCTTATCTTGGAATAAGCTACACTGAACCCATCTCTGAAGAGTTATTATGAAACTAGTAGCTTATCCTAATATTCTCCTGAAAAAAGTACTTTTATGGATGCTTTTTTATTGGCTGGAAAAAAAAGAGGTTAAAAGGACCTATTTCTGTATTGTTTATTATGGCTATGTAAATCCTTTGAATTTGGTTTTCAGAACATTTTTTTAAAATTTTAATTATTAATGCGGTATATCTTTTTTCCTTTTAAAAATGCTCCTAGCTATCTCCTGAAACATGCCATTTGCTCTGCTGTAAAAAATATATGCAAAGTACAGTAGATGTTTATCCACACTCCAGGAGCAGCAATCAAGCCTCAGAAAAGATGTAGATGTTTTAGCCATTTAGAAGAGGTGGCCTATTCACACTCCTGTGGATTCTAAAAATTTTCTTGAAGGTTTTGCATAGTCCTATTATTTGTGGGATGAGTTTCACAGAGTAAAACTGAGTATGGAATTTTACTAACCGGAAGTATGAAAAGGAGGCTTGGTAGAATAATGAAGTAAAAGAGACTGTGGATGAGAAAAAAATGCATATAAAAGAATAATTGCTGCATATTATTGTGTAAAAATAGCATAGAGAAAAAGAGATGCAGAGAATTAGTCATGGAGATCAGGGGATGACTAAACTTTATTTAAAAATAGTTCAAATGCAGAACAATATCAATATATATATATAATTGTTTTGGAAGTTGGTAAATAAATTTAAAGAAAGAAATTCCACAGGATGTGGAATTAAAAGTAAAAGCAGGGACATGTTTTGAGTTAAATTTGAACCAAGGGAATTCTGAAATTAATATTTTAGAGCTCTATATCAAGAATACATGGAACATCTATCCAGAGATTAGAGTGTTAAACTAAAAGGAGATGTTCATGTAAGTTATTGTAATAATAAAATATTAAGATATTTTCAAAAGAAACTAGTGAATTATAAATATTCTAAATCTTTTTAAGAGGATATTTTGAATTTGTGGGATTTATTAGAATGGTCAAGTTGGAAACTGTCTCAAACTGTTCTTTATACCTATTATATAACTTTACATATGACATTATATGGTGTATGTTTGTGTGTGATAGAGAGAGAGAGGGAGAGGGAGAATGAATTTATTCATGGATATATCTTCAAATCAAAACATGTAGTTAAGAATTCTGCCATCTACTTTAAAATGGTATTTGTACTGCAGGCAAGCTTATTAAATAAATTATCTTAATGCTAGTATTCCATGAAATTGGCTATAAGTCACTGAGTAGAGAAAATAAAGAAATGCTCTTTTATAATAGTAAATAGAGACAATTTCAGAAGGTCTCAATATGCACAATGGTTTTTAATATATTACAATTATTAATTGATAAGATTCTTTTAATCTGTTCCATATGCAACCTGCATCTGCATAACCTGTTTTGTCTTCTTTCCCCCATTTCACTTTGAATCTTATACCAGTTTAGCCACTGTATAATCTGATGATGTGAGCAGCAATAATTTTACAGCTTTATTAAATGGCTAATAAAATTGGTTAATCATATAAGGTGATACCAGACTCCTAAAATAAATGTAGCGTTATTGATATTTCTGCTTGAGCCGAACTAAATTGTCCTATTGGAGAGATCTGGAAATAATTAATACTCTGTATTTTGCCTAAATTATCTGTTGAATCCATAGATTGTGTTAAATATATGCATTTTGCAAACTGTTGTAGTGGTACTTTATTAGTATGAGTGCAGTTTGCTCATACCTTCCAAGAGATAGCACTCTTTTTTTATTGCCAATGAGGAAGCATTCCAAAATGCTCAAATGCAGATATTGCAATAGAGAAATAGCATACACAAGAATTCAGACCAGCCCTTTCTTAGAAGCTTAATTGATGTTGCACCTTGCATGAAAATGCTAAATTCTCAGCATCCTAGTGACAATCCATGAAACTGTGTTGCAGGCCTCTCCAATTTCAAGACTCGGCAGATGCTACCACTCCGTGCATGAATGGAAGTCACACTACTCAGCATATAAAACAGGAGTGCTTGGGTGATTATAAGGGCCTATCTGAGGTTTCTGCACACAGAGGGATTACTGACGGAATGGAACTGAAAGGCTCAGGCGGCCTTCATCTTGACCATAATAGCCTTACCAATTCACTTTCATCGCAATTGTTTAATAATGAACATAGTCCCTCCCTGGGCTCTTTGTCACTCAACAGCCCTCACCATTCAAGTCGACCACAGGCAAGCAACCTGAAGAAGAGATGCATCTCTGTGCTGCCATCTTCTGCTGATGGGATTGATATTACAACTATCATCCGCACATCACAGACCTCGCTGGTTACCTGTGTGAATGGACTGTGGACTAATTCAGCTGGTGTTTCCTCTTCCCCTAGAGAGATCACTCTCCATAGTGCTCAGAAACCCTCTCGCCCCCAGTCCTGCTTGCAATCTGGGAACCACTGCCATATTCCTTCCCCTTCGGTATGCCTTGTCCCTGTTTCCTCTGAAACTATCCGGGGGGACTGTGACTATTCCCCAATGCAGCACACAGGAGAGAATGCAAGCTTCTGCCTTATAATGAATACGGCTTCTGCTCCTCAGCCAGATATTTTACACAGCAAACAGAAGTTGAATTTCTTAAAACAGGAACCACTTGATGAATATACTTCTGCCTCCAGTCTTTTTCAGCATCACCAAGAGCTGCCACCACCTTATCATTTACACGAGCAGCAGAGCCACATTCAAGGGGCACTAACACATTTACAGGCCTCTATGTCTCCCAAGTCTCTTCAGATGAGCGAAGGTGATGAGCAGGAGGCCAGCGGCGGTAAGCAGATCTGTCGATGGATTGATTGTAGTGCTATCTATGATCAGCAAGATGAATTGGTTCGGCACATAGAAAAGACTCATATTGATCAAAGGAAAGGAGAGGACTTCACTTGCTTCTGGGCAGGCTGTGTTCGCCGGTATAAACCTTTCAATGCTCGTTACAAGTTGCTAATCCATATGAGAGTTCATTCGGGAGAAAAACCAAACAAGTGTATGGTAAGTCTAGAATGTATTTATTTGACTGGAAATGCTCTGGGATGCCCCCTCCCCCCTTTTCTGTCTTCTAAAATATTCTTCCAATAGAATTACAGGGTTTTTATGTAACTTGTATAGTGATATTATGAAGCAGTATCTTACCTGTTAAAAACAGCTATTTTTTATTACACAATATTCTTTTCCTCAGAATTATGCTATTACCCTATAGTTCCGTTGTTAATGCTTCATTTTGGGTTCTTTTGAGAGAAAATAATATAAGTATTGTTTATAAATATTGGCATGTTGTATTTTGTTGCCCACTGCAACAAATTTAGCTTTTAAATACAAATGTTTTATATTTGAAAAGGCCACTGAAAAATTAACAGAATGTTCAAAGCAGTTTGGAACAGTTAAACATAGCGGAGAGTCAATGTGCCTTGGGTGATATTTTAAATCAAGAAACATGGAGCACATTTTAATGCTTTTTTTTCCAGTTTGCTTTTGAACAGTATCCCAGCTGAGCAGAAGCTTTTGAAATGATAGATGGCAGAAAAGAAAGAGAATCCTAGTAATTATTATTAATGACTAAAATTGAGCATCTAATATAACTTTCAGGATGGCTTTCATTTAATATATATAAAAAACAGTTTTCAGAAGAGAGCTATTATAGCTGTTCTTCTCTGATCAGGCAGATCTAAGCTACACCATAATGCCAACATGTTGAGAGAAGCATTGTCTCTGGTTGAATTATTAGTTATGTGGGAAATTAAAATAAAAACTAATGATTTGCAGTTCAGTGGCAATAATATAAAACTCTTAATAGAGTAGGTAACCACAAAGCAAGATTGGACCAGGCTTCCAAACTCAATTGTGAAATATAACCCAAACTGTATTGCTTACAAAGGAATAACTGCACCAAATGTCATCAAGAAGGATCACTTTGAAGAATTGGTGTTTATTCACAGGATTGTGGTTGAGTGTGTTTTGGAAAAACAACCCCCCCCTAAGTACAATACTTGTCAGATTTTGGAGTGAGAGTTATTCTTTTCAAACTAAGATGTACTTTATATATGGTAGTGTTGTTGGATTTATTTTCCCCAAATGCTGTTCCTAAGAAGCAAAGTCTTAGGGTTAGGAATAATGTCTTAATTGTGATGAGAAGACATTCCTGACAGTCTTATTTTTTCGTATTCCTGGTTTATTATGCAGATGATTGTATTAGAAAGTGAAATCAAATAATTAAAGTACTGTATGTGGTTTCTTCTACTCATGGAATAGTTCATAATTCCTCACTATGCTTGTACTTTGTATTTATACACAGTATGCTCTTTGTGTATTAGTATTTATCTCTATATTTTTCTACTCTAAATATTCCTATATAATTTATTACTAATATGATGTCTAATATACTAAACGCTATATTTTTGAAATATTTAAACAACAGGGATTTTGCTTGTTTCTTATCCATCCTATGTGTATAACATCCTTTAAATCTTTCCATTGACGTCATACTGGTAAATGATGTGGCTTATATACTCATGACAAGAATCCAAGCATAATAAAGTAGTACACATAACTTTCCACTGCAGTAGATGTTGTTATTGCATTTAGAAAAACATTAAGATTGCAAGAATTGTCACTAACACTAAGCAGCACAGATAGCTTGTGTAGAGACAGGGGAGATATTAAAATCTCCAGTTTCATTGTGTCTTAATAAGATAATTGTACTGTATTCCTAAATTAGAAATTTGAAACTATGGAAATACTTGGGTTACTCAACAGTGTGTGTGTAGCCATATTGGAGGTTGCTTTTAAAAGATATATAAAAACAGTCCTCTCTCTTTTAAAAGTATAATTTAAAAGCAAAGTTTCAGACTTTTACAGTGGTGAAAGGTGGAATAGAACTCTAGATTTACTCAATAACATAAAATATGCTGTAGATTTGTTCTTTCGAAGTGTACGTTTGGCACCTATTATGTGGCAGTTTTTTAATGTTACCTTTCTAATGAATTATGTTATACAAATCTTTATGTCATTATGTTAACTTCATATAATGGGTAATACTGGAAGAATTTATAATTGTAAATTGGACTGTAGACGCTTATAAATAGCACATTAGTCTATGGGTCTATATTAGGCTACTTCAAGTATACTCTTCAGTATAAACAAACAATTGTCAGTACTGTAGTCAGTTCAGTATATTTGAATGGATCTTTTGTCCAATCAGAATTGAGTTTTTATGTAATATTACAAAATAAACACTCAGTGTCATGTTTATTTTTATAACTGTAGAAGAATTACGGGGAAGACTATTAAAATATATTTAATTTCAAAAAAGAAAAGATGAAATTAAATATTTAAAATAACTTAAAAGGTTTTTTTACAGTTCACTCCAAAGTAAACCACAATTGTAGATGATCAAAATGGATTTTCTTTAAATATGGCTTAATTTTTTTTTAAATATTTTAAAAAGTCATTTTCTTAAGCTAAGAAAGCAGTGGGTAAATTGCTTCAAAAATTAGTGTTTGTAAGGAGTTTGTTTGCAGACTGAAGTATTATTGTGGTTTATTTGTGTTTTTGTGCATCTGTTGGCTTCAGGGTAAGTCTAGTACCTCAAATTTAAAGAAGAATCATTTTGCAAATGTTAATTTTCATTTAAAATAAGACTTTTTTGTTTATTAGAAAGCCTAAATTAAATACTCTCATGATTTTTCTTGGAAGATGCTCCCATTCCCGATTGCTTCCAGTGACAAAAAACAACATTATTGCTTTATTTGAAACTGGGTATTTTTCCAGTCTGATCAACATCATTTGTTGGTTAAATGTGTGTTGAACAGATTCAAGGGAGGCTGGCAACAAGTAGCTTGCTGTCTGCTTGCATAAAAGCTCCCTTCTATGTAAAATTATTAATTTCTTATGACAGTCTTTGCTACTATGTACTGTAATAGACAAAGGAATTTTGGAATTCAGGCTACTTGAGAACAGGAAATACATGAGACATTTTGATTGAAAAGTAAATGGTCCACTAAAATGGCACTTAATCCTTTTATTATCTTCCAACAGCAGTTTCCACAATGTATTTTCATGAGGTAAGCTTCCCCTTCAGTCCAATTGTAATACTCATCATTACAGCTGGTTTAAATTTAGCCAGTATGTTTCCTTCTCATACCAAGAGTGGGAAAAGTGGAACGCAAATTGTCATAAAGGCGTTACTGATATTTTTGGGTTCCCTGGATTTGTTGCCAAAATTTATATTTTTTAATTTTCAGTTAAAATGTATAATTAATGTATTCTTTTTTCAACATTGTGTCCTTTCATTTATGTGGGGTTATGTTATGTTATGCTTTGCTTTTGTTCATTCTGTCTTTATTCTTTGAGCTGTGTAAGTAGTCTGAAGGAAACTACCTAATCTCTTTGCAATATCCTGTTATGCTTCATATATAGCTTGTGTTATTTTAGTTTTATTAAATTTGGTGCTCATCTGCATTATAATCAGAAAGATAGCTAACAAAAATAATGATGCAATGTCTTTAAAACCTGAACTTTTGGAAGATTAATTTGATGCTTTTGTATATTTGATGTCCCAGACTATAGGAATTTTGATTGTCTGAGAACAAAAATTAGACCGTTTAAATGTTTTCAACTTAAAATAAAACCTTACATTTTGTCCTACCATTGTTTTGCATAATAATGATTAATCAACCTGATATTATACAAAAGTGGTTAAGTTCTTGTTTGTGAATGTAATTAAGGTCTTTCACTTAAAAAGACTTATGTTTGTGTATGTGAGTGTGCTGGACTTTATTCTACATCCTTTAAGCCAAGTAATAAATTGTACTGAAATACTTAAAACAGTCATAATATTATTATTTAAATAACAATTTATAATATTCACTAAATTCAATTTCAACATCAAATAGATGAATAATATGATACAAAAAGGAGATTTTTGGATAGCAAATAACATGTTTAGTTATTTCAAATATCCACATGAAAACATTTGCAGGAGTAGACAAGCGCCCAATTTCTGATGCACAGTTAACTCAGTTTCTATACAGGACATTCTCTTTTATCAACTGCCTCATTTAGCAACCATTAGAAGTTACAACCATGAACTTTATGATCAATTCTTGCATTTATGACCTTTGCGTATCTGTAAAGCAAAGGAAAGCTGAAGTAAGATCATAAACACAGTAGTTGATCTCACTTAATGTCTGCTTTGCTTATTGATCAAGTTGTCAGTCCCGGTTGTGTTCACTAAACAAGGACTACCTGTAAAGCCAGACTTCTGTAAAATGACTTCATCAGAATTTTTCCAGTTATAATCAATCTTTTTCCCCCAGTGAGTGGGTTCACAAGCCCAGCAGAGCATTAAACGATCCAGTAATTGGATCCAGTGGAATTAATGGCTCTTTGCCGATTTCTATTTTTTGAATTGGGTGATCCTCAATTTACAACTGGTCACTTAGTAACCATTCAAATTTCCGACAGACTTCCCACAGCTACTTATGACTCAGTTCCAATAGCTGCACATGCTCGCATGCACACACATGCGCACACGCACCATTTGGGATGTTTGGCAACCATCACCTCTTATGACCAGTTGCAGAATTCTATAGTCAGATGACTGTGATTTATGACATTTTTGCCCGTTTCCGGCCTTTATTTGGCTTATTTCCAGAAAAATATAGCCCTATAGGAAGACATTGATTCACCTTAATAACTCTGGCATTTGCTTAACGACCATCACAAAAAAAAGTCATAAAGTCACATTAGTTATATGGGTACCTTGGTTTACAACCATCAGGATTTACAATGGAAATTTGGGGGACTATTATGGTCATAAGACAAGGACTATCTCTGATCATCTATTAGTTAATGTAGGGAATGTTGAGATTATTCCATTTGTTTAACCTGATGATCCCTAGACATATTTTTATAGATTTTGAGCCTGTTGAGTTCCTGTTGAGTTGAGATTTTGAGCCTGTTGAGGCAGATGATAAAAGAGTTTGGCACATAAT